ATAATATTATTATAAAAATTAAATTGCTCTACCCTAACCAAACCCTAATTATTTTCATTTTATCCTCTCTCTCTCTTTCTCCCCCAACCTCTCTACGACTCTCCTGGCCGGCGAGGAGATTTCTCTCTTCCCAACCTCTCTCTCTCCGGTGCTAGTAGCTACGCGATGACGCCCTGTAGCGGCGGCGCTGTGCGTTGTGAGCTCTGTCGTTTGCTGCGTCGAGACTACTGCGAACTTGTTGCATCGTTGTCCGACGCCACCGTAGACAGAAGATAAATTTGGGGAGGAAGTTTGGGGTATTTTAGGGACATTCTCCTTCGATTTGATTTGATTAGCCGGAGCCGCTGTGTAGAGACGTCTTTTTGCTGGAGTGGAGAAATCTGGTGGTGGTTTTTGGTGTTGTGGTGGTGTTGGTGGTTGTGGATCTGTGGCTGTGGCAGTGGCAGTGGGAGGGTCTGTGGTGGATTCGCGGTGGATATATTGTTGTCGCCTTTGGTTGTTATTGTGGCCGTGGTTGTGGTTGTGGTGGTGTTCTGGTGGGGTGAACGGCGACGGTGGTGGTTTTTTGGTGTTGAGGTGCCGGCGGCGATTAGTGTGGTTTTTTTTTGTTGTTATTGTGGCAGTGGTTGTGGTGGTATTGTGACGGGGCGATGGTGGTGGTTTGGTTGGTGTTGTGGTGGGGGTAGGGTAGTATTTGTGACCAATTATTTGGTTGATTTGTGACCAAATAATGATGGAGGATCAGGATGGGGTGGGGTGTTTAGTGTATGTGATCGACATTTTTGGTTCATAAAATTTGATATTAAATCGTGACGTATAAAATTTTTAATTTGTAATCTCGAAATAATTTTTGACCAATTAATTTGATATTTTGTGATCGTAAAATAAGTTCTGGGACTTATAAATTTTGTGATTTATGACTGATAAATAAATTGTGACTTTTAAATTTTTAATTTGTGACCGATGAACGAACTGTGGCATATAAAAATTTTCAATTGTGATCTTAAAATTTTTCAATTGTAACTAAATTGTATAGATATGTCACCTTTATATATTTATTAATAAAATATTTAATTAATTAATTAATTAATTTATAAATAAATTTTAATGAAAACTTGA